CCAGACTGCGTCCGGCGGAAACCGAGCTGAGAGTTCGCCACATGACGCGTTTGGCAGCGGCTAGAAGGGATTAATCGATGGTCATATAGCATGTATAGGGAAACTCACCATCCATTCCGGAACTTCCTTCGTCTACCAGCAGCACAGAAGGATTGCCTATCAAAGCGATGCCCAAACTCAATTTCCTCTTGTTGCCTCCAGACAGCTTTGCAGCCATTCGGTTGCGGTATGGTATCAATCCAATCGCTTGCATGACCTGTTCGACGTTGTGCTCCACGTTCTTTACACCTCTCGCTCGAGCGTAGAAACGAAGGTGCTCGGTAACGGTCATGGTGTCCATCGCATCGAACTGTGGCACGACACCGAGATGCGTACGAGCGGCAGCCCGCTCTCTCACGATAGACTTGTCCTCAATCAGGATGTCGCCTTCCTTGAGAGTCGGACGAATGTCTCCTCTGATCATGCTGATCGTCGTGGACTTTCCAGCACCGTTGGGTCCGAGCAATGCAAAGACTTCTCCATGAGGAACGGCGAAAGAGATGTCATTCACCGCAAGATTGTCACGATACGCTTTAGACACGTGAGCCACGCGAAGCTCGTCGGTGCAGCCGTCGAGCCTCGCGGCTTCCGCGAAAACCTCGTGATCGACGTCCTCAGTCTCCTCAGCCTCCTTAGGTTTGTGCTGGTTCCGGATGAGAAATGCGGGCTTCCAACCGCTGTCCCACCAGATCAGGAAGAGTAGCAGAAGAATTGACTGCACGATGAGATATAGTATCGGACCGCCATACACGGTGATGGCGCCTGCGTATGACGCTATCTCGGTATCGTTGCACAGGAGCGAAAATTCGTTGAACGTCAGCAGGAAAGACCGCAGGAGGTTGCCGGAAGGTGTGATGAGTGCAATCGTGAAATGTGCTATGTTGACAAAGCGGTTGACATCGGCCGCGGCAGCGTATCTACCACCTGTCAGTTTATGAATGATCCTCTCGAAAAGGGAAGGGCTTACGTTATGATGCACATGTATGCGATGAAGTAGATCAGGAACATGGAGCACTGCAATCCAGCAGCAAACGCGAAGGCTGCAAGCTGCGAGGTAACGAAGAGCGATACGACATAAGAGGTCAACATGGCGGCTAGACCGTAAAGGAAGAAGACCAGGAAGAGCCATCCGGGGTAGTAGAGGGCGCTCGAGACGGAAGTGAAAACGATGACAGCGACAACGCTGACGATGAGAACAAAGACGAAATCGAAGAGCGTGTATGCAAGCCAGAGTGGGAAGGCTCGGACACCGTTTGACCAATGTAACGCCCTGACCCTATGCAAGCGTTCGTGCGTGGGGTATAGTGCAAAGAAACCAGGATAAACACACATAGATAGGCCAAAGTAGAGAATAAACTGCAGAGAGTCGCCAGCACTCGGAGCCCAGGGAACAGAGAAGGCCTGGAAGTTCGTGATGATTGGTGTAGAGCCGAGAAGACTGTTGTGAAGAAGGTTCTGCATCAAGATAGCAAAGGACAACGTGTAGTCGCCCCTGTATGCGAAGGTGGAGGGGCCGTTGCGATCGAGGAAGAAACCACCAGGATAGACTGTGCTGTAGTTCGCTGCGATATAGGACTCCATGTCTTCCAAACTAGACACAGGTCTGAAGGGATTGTTGAGAGCTGGGTATAGCCGGTTCAAGAGATTGATAGGAACCTGTGATGGCGGACCGACTGGTATGTTCGCCGCTACAGTGAGGCTTGCAAGAGATGCAATTTCCTCACTTGAAGCCGAAGCTTCTGGCGAACAAGACAGCTGCGTGAAACCTTGCAAGAACAACGTCACTAAGCCAGCAGTTATTATGGGAATGAGAGTAGCCGCCAGATAAGGGAAGTAGTTTCGACGGAGGATGACCAGCCGCTTGCGGAAGAGTACCCAGGTCTGAGAGAGGATCGAGATCTTTCCGCCACGCGCCAGTTCCAAGCCCTTTTCACCAGACCCAAGAGAGTCCAGTGTTGCCAAAGGCGCTCCGGGCGTTTGGTCCTTAGGCCTGAGGCCTTGCACTTCGGTCGCCAATTTCAGGAAGACGTCTTCAATGGTAGGACCGCTAACTCTATAGTCCGAGACACCGAGCTGCTCAAGCGCAGCAATGAAGCTCGCTGCTTCGGCAGAGGTAGAGAGACTGTAAACCGTATGATCGCTGTGCACCCTCTTCGGAATGTTGGACCACTCTTGAGGCTCGTTGAAGCTGTTCTCAGCATAGATTTTCACTCTGTACCCACCTCCGTGTTGGTGCTTCAGTGCGACAGCTGATCCATCAGCCACGAGATTGCCCTTCGATAGCATAGTAATGTGGTCTGCCAGAAGATCTGCTTCATCCAAGAAGTGAGTAGTGACAAGCATCGCCCGCTGACCTCTTTGAGCAATGAGGATATCAAAGATCTTCCTTCGCGACAGTGGATCAAGACCCGAGCTGACCTCATCCAGGAGGCACAAGTCCGAACCTCCAGTCAACATCATGGCGAGCTGGCACTTGCGCTTCTGTCCACCAGAAAGTGTTTCCGTTCTCGCCTGCACTTTGTGGGAAAGATCACAGCCATCAATCAATGCCCTGATCTCGGCCTTTGAATCCAGTCTGTCAGCCTTGAGCCTGTTGAAGATGCGAACGTGTTCCTCAACGGTAAGCTGGTCCCAGAGAACGTTCTTCTGTGGGCACATCGACACGCCTCGAGTGGAGAAAATGTCGATAGAACCGCTCGTAGGCTGCTGCAGCCCAGCCAACATGTCCATGGTCGTACTCTTTCCCGATCCGTTCGCACCAAGTAGGACGTGTATTTGCCCAGGCCTCATCGTAACATTCAAATCATTGACAGCAATGACAGTCTCCCTCGGGCTTTTCGAGAAGCGTCCGAGCACTTTGCGATGGAACCAGCTGGGTGGGTAATGTTTGGAGAGCCCCGCGATTTTAACAGTCTCGTTCGAACCCTCTTCAGACTTGTGCATATTGCGGGCTTTCGACGCGGTGCCGTAAAGTGACCTTTCGATGACTGCACCAATCAACGGATATACCAGGAACTGGATAGCCAAGAAGATGAAAAAGACGTATCCGGGAATCCTCCACGGCGCGTTCGGCGCAGCCTCTGAAAGCTTCGCCGCTAAAGACTGTTGCTCCCAGTGGGCCATGTAGATAATGAACAAGGTATAGTTCATCGAAGGGAACAACAAGGCGAGAATTGCCGCAGCGCCGGTACTGTGAGGCTGCTGAACCTGGACAATGATAGCCAAGACGATCGAGACGATGGTAACCGTGATACCGGAAAGCTGAGCCTTGCGGAACAAGCTTGCGAAAGCGATCGACCAGCTTGCAAGGGAGAGTCCAGCGAGGATGAAAAATCCGATGAGGATACCGGTGCTCGAGTTAGGGTAGTTAAGCCCAGCAACAATAGCACCCATGATAACCCAGCTGGGAAAATAGAGGATGTCAAATGAAAGATGATTTGACAGCAATCTCGCAGCTTGCGGCTGCCAGCGCTTCTTGTTAGGCATCATTGCTTCGATGAGTTGAGACATACCAAGCTCGCGTTCTTGGGCCATCTGACCAGTCAACTGATAGCAGATCCCAACTATACCGATGAAATATGCCACGGCGAGGATATCGATGAGCGAGCCCATGTACAGCCTAGTGATGTTCCTTTGCCGCTCGGACGCCGTTTTGGATGTGAATGGATACTCCTCAGGCAGCGGAATGGAAGTTCCATTCCCAGCCGCAATCGCAGAATCTACCGCATGCTGTAGCGGAAGGGCATAGATCTCAGCATCGTTGTCGTGTGTATTTACGTAGATTCTGCCACCGAGGGAGCCGTCTGCGCGAATAGTGTAGTTCCAGAGTCCACCTTGGTCTGGCGAGGAGTGAAAGCTGACAGCCGCGAAGCAAGGCGAGACAGCACGGATGGAGCTGCGACACGTCGTGAGCAGGTCGTTGTCGCTGCCTAGAGTGACCGGATGAAGGCCCGATGCTGTCACCGTAGACGACAAGTTGCTAATTACAGCTTGCGCATCGGCTCCGCCGTTGTTTATGAAAGCCACAGTACGGCGCCCTCCAGCTGAAGCCCTTAGAGCATCTGGGAAGCTTCTGACTGGCGTCGGAGATCCGATACCAAAATTCGAAGGCGGTACGAAGAAGTTTTTGGCGTAACTGATGAAGAACATAAAAATAATAGGCGCCAAGAATGCCCGTACTGTGGTGGAGAGCCAATGCCGGTTGAAGACAATGATAAGATTCTTCTCCGTGAGCGTCCATGTTTGGCGTAGGAATCCCATGTCTGCTGTCACGCTCCGCGCGGCAGTAGTATGCGCCGGATCTGTGAGTATACGTGGAGCCGCGAATTCCTGATCCCGATGTTAACAAGTACTGGTGTCGCTTTGAGTATGTTTGTTTTTCGAAGGTGGCGAAACCAAACGGCGACCGGAGATTTGAGCAGCGAGCGCACGATTATGTAGAAGATGAAAGCAAAAACAGACAAAACGTCAAACAGACGCTCCAAGAACAGACCAAGGGGAACAAGAGAACGGAAGGTGTTTTGCCGCTGCTATCGAGGCGGCGTGGATACCTAAACGAACAAAGAAGGAGGTGCGGAAAGTGGTGTGCTTGGCGGACCGAGCAACGGCTTCATGAACGTCATGAACGCCTCCGCTCGTCTCTGATCACACCCAAGCCAACTCTTGCTGTTACCTCTGAACGACTCGCCATCAGTCAGCCTGCCTTATGTTTCATGCTCCAGAAGAGCCAAACATTCAATCAGACGCCCCTCGGCTTCTCCAACGACTTCAACAATCGCACAGAATGTCCTTCGTGCTAAGCGAGGGGCTGTCGTATTGCCAAGTACCAAGCTCACCATCTTATACGTCTGCCCTGGCGCGCATGTCGCCACGAGAGACGCGTTGCTCCTGCTCGGCCAGCCAAGGACGAAGAAATTCAGAGCCAAGGGCGTTCACCTTCGCGACACTACTCAACACACTCTCGCCTGTGTGGCCCAATGGCAAGGCGCTTGACTACAATGCCGTCGAAATCAAGAGATCGCAGGTTCGTTCGATCCCTGCCACGGTGACATTTGCTCCCTATTTCTCGTCCTGTGTGTGTTGTTTTTACTAGATAATTGTGGGTGATGGCAAATGTGAATGAGCAGGCCGTTGACCTGTCAGGAGCCAAGACTGAAATTGGCATGCAAGGATGCTCGAGCGAAGCGCAGTTCTGTAGGGACAAGATACACTCCTGTCCACTGTTACCCATCCAGAATGTATGTTTTGCGTACATATGTATCTTACTAAAGGTGGAACTGAACACAGTATGATTACGTCCAGTGAGTATGGATGAATGCTCCTCGCTGACTGGGGTTTCCAGCGCATTCACCTTTGAAGACCAACACGGTGATGATGCGTTGACCCTAACCCTAAGATAGGAACACAGTACCTGAACCTCAACGATGCCCTCAGGCTGGAGCAAGGGTACTGTTCATTCCACTGTACTCGCCAATTACAGCTCTGACGCACGCCGCACGCCGGCAGTCGTTGCTATTGCTCCCTGATCTCCCACTCGTCTTCATCCTCCGCCAACTCATCGCTATCCCAATCGTCCTCTTCATCGCGTGCCGCCATTTCCAAGAACTGTCTGAAAACCTGTTGACGTCTTGCCTGTTCCTCCTCCACATTCAGCGCCGGCCTTTGGTCCACCCTCACCTGTCCGCCACCACCTCCGTTCCGTCTCCGTATCTGCTGGTTGCGTAGTCTCTGCTGATTCCTGTGACCTTGGACAACTCTCGCGCCCTGTATTCTCTCCATCACCCCAATAAAACCCGCCATAGCGTCGTGCACGCGTGCCTCCGGCGCAAGCGGCGGCTGCGGGGCTTCCGGCACTCTCGCCCCTCCGCTCCATTCCCTCCCGCGGCACCCGTTGCCTAGTAGGGGTTAGAAAACATGCTGGTCGTAGCTGGGTAGATACAAGCAAGGAGGCGCTGATCATGCACTATTTACACGATTGCCACGTACCCGCTCGTCGCCGACCATTGCCTCCTCCATCTCCTCTCTCTGCAATCTCTCCGCCTCCTCTCTATCCGCTTCTTCAGCAACGCGCCGCGCCTCTTCCTCCCATCGTCTCGCGCCTTGAAAATTCGCGCCCTGTCCTTCATCACCCTCCTCCAGGACCCACAGTTGCTGGTAACAGCTCGTACCGAGCTTGTTGAAGTGCTGGTATGGATTATCCGGGCTCAGCCAGGCACCACATAGGTAGCAGAAATGCGTGTTGCACTGGAAGCACTTCATGTGATTGCACCCCATGGTCTTCTGGGTCGGAGACGAGCAAGTTGGACAGGGTGACGTGTTCAGACGGATGTACTCGTATGATGCCTTTTCTTCTTCAGAGAGCTCGCCTGGGTTGCGTGGCCAGCAGCGTGCGAATTCACCGTGCCAGCCGGTGTAACAGATACGGCAGAAGGCAAAGCTGCATTTGGAGCAGACAGACAATCGATCTGCAGGCGCTGGCAGTTTGTTGTCCGGAACATGGCCAACGCTGGCTGCGGACTCGTTTTCGGAGTCCGATTCGGGGTATGTGGCCAGGTCGGCGGGTATGGGCGGGTATTTGTTGGTACGAGCAGGGCCCTGGCACCAAGTGCGTGGACAGTAGACGGTAGTCTTGTCCGCTTCGAGCTTCTTCTTTCTCTTCATCTCGACATATCTCCGGACCGCGGACTCTTCTATACCCATATCCAACAATTCCTTAGGGTGCAATGTGCGCTCTTTCTTGGTCTTCCGCTTGCTCGGGCCGTCTTTGCCGCAAGTTGGATCCATGCACCTGACGTTTACTACGTCACCCTCCGTGATACAGTTGTTATAAAAGTCCTGCAGACAAGACAGACAGAAGACGTGCCCGCAACGGCGCATTTGGTAGCATGCAGATCCTTTCTTAGGCTCTAAACAGACCCCACAATCGTATGTGCCAGCGTTGAAAATCTCCTTCTTCGTCTTTGAATCGTACTCCAACAAGGCAGGCTTAAGGCCAGGCAGCAGCGTCAGCGCAGCATTGGAGGTCGGCGCGAGATCGAATGCCCGCTCAGCAGCCTGCTGAAGATAGTCGATGTAAGAGAACAGAACCTGACATTGTCCATACTCCTCCCACAGCCTTGCCACCTCCTCTTCTAGCTCATGCAACTTCTCTTCCGGAATCCAGGTCGGAGTAGTGGAGAGCTTCACTTTCGGCGCGAGTCCTGCGGGGTAGCCGTCTGGCAACGTGATATTCAGACGAATGGGAGGTAGATGCTGCAGCTTGTGAGCATCTCGAAGTGCCGCTACCGCCGTGAGACTGTGCTTTCGTCCATCGTCAGAACTAGGGGGCGAGGGAAGAGGTGCGGCGGGAAACTCGACATTGAGAGGATCAGAGGGAGCGACCGGAAGTTCGAGCGAAGCGGCAAAAGGGTCGGCGGGATCGACGACCAGTTCCGGATAGATAGCAGCGATCGTGGTAAGCTCTTCTGTACGCTCGTCTTCCATGGGTGCTCTCCGTTTACACGCAGCTGCAGGCAGAGAGTGAGCGGCGGGTTCGTGTGTAGAACGCGGTGTTTTGAGGTACTGGTAGCAGTGACGGCAGCAGAAAAGACAGAGGCAGGAAACACGCGCAGGTTGGGTATCCGAGAAAATATATAGAGAAACGCTAGGACCGTAACGAGGGAAAAATGTGTGAGCAATATTTCTACATGTACTGCTCTGGTCACCGCCGCTGAGTTCCTTCTGGAAGTGGCAACACGGCGTCACATGCAACGCCAAGCTTTCGGTCACAATGGGCCGAAGAGCCGCATCATTGTTCCAGCTGCCAGGCCGTCACCGACCAAGATCACTTGTTCTGCCTGCTGCACTCCGCAAACATAACCATCGTGCTCTTCCAACTCTAGAACCGCAACATGGAAGATCCTCCCTTGGCGTCTCTATCTCTGACCCATGTCCACTATGTGCGCGCAGTCATTGTCACTTGTTCTCATCAATCTAATCTCAATGGCAGAACCCTGACGACCCCATTTCCTACGCATGCGCATGGCTCGCTTTGGTACCTCAGGCATTGTGTATCACGTACGCTACTCTCATATGGAGCACTCGCGAGGCCGAAGTATTGCTCATGTTTGGCGGCCAAATGGCATGCGAAGCATTGAATTGGGTCCTGAAAAGGGTGATTAGGGAAGAACGACCAAGACGTACGCATTCAGGCTCACTCATACAACCTACGGTCGCTTCAGTGGAGCAATGTCCCGGCTAACCACGGATATAGGCATGCATGGTAAAGGATACGGAATGCCTTCGTCCCATGCTCAGTTCGTCTCCTTCTTCGCTGTTTCCCTCACTCTCTTTCTCTTGATGCGGCACAACCCCCACACTCCGCACGCTTCGTCCACGCACATCCCGACCTCGTTCGTTGAGCGGTTAGCACTCTCGGTCTTGGTGGTTGGAGGCGCCATATCGGTAGCACAGAGCAGGATCTACCTCAACTACCACACCGAGAAACAGGTATTGGTGGGCTGCGCTGCAGGCGCGGTATTTGCTGTAGTTTGGTTCCTCTTCACGGCTCTACTGAGACACTACGGGTGGGTAGAATGGGGGCTGGAGACCAAGATCGCACAGTACTTCCGAATGAGAGATCTTGTGGTCAATGAAGATCTGGTAGATGCTGGGTGGGAAAGATGGCAGCTCAGGAAGCGAAGGAATACTGAGGCCGCTGCTGGAAAGAAGAGTAGATAGACCGAGCAACATGCATGTTGAGTCATCTTCCAACTTGTCGCCCAAGCCAAGAAGGAATGTGTTTACGTTCTCATCCTATGTGGTTTCTCGAAACGCACCACAATTCAATCACAACGCTTGGACTTTTATGATCCTGGGAATACCCCACAGAGAACCATGACAAGCAATCGAGCTGGACTGGAGCACGGATGGACCGAAAGTGCTTGACGGGGAAGGTTCTAGCACCGTTGCGGAAGAATAGTGGAGCAGATCACTGGAGAAACAACAGAAAATAGCAGCATTGAGTTCACGTGTGATGGAAAACTCTTTCGTCCTTCGGCCTGCACACCCGACAACGGATTGACAACGCGCGTATATCAAGACCATCCTGCGTCTTCCCAATCCACCGTTTGACTTCATTTTAAGTCTTCTCATTCGCGACGGCCCCCTCCAAGCTAGTGTCTCATTCTCTCTTCGCACCGCGCTCGTCTCCCACCTTCAGCCCTGCCGATTGAAGCCCCTCTTTTCAGCCACTACCCCGCGCTTTTGGTACCTGCATTGATAAACGAGCCACAACCAGCCTCACGCTTGACGATTTTCGCCGCAGGAATCAGAAAATCTTAGCGAAACTCGCCAAACCCTTGATACGAAGATGCCTTTCTCTATCAACACATCCGCAGTCAACTACAGCATGGCCGACTCGCCCTCTTCGTTTGATACTTTCCGCCACCCGCTGGAGCTGCGCTATGCCAGTGAGTTTCTTTCGAAGTTCTCTTTTCAAGATCGAGAGTCATTCACATAGAGGAAAAAGAGAAACCCGCACCGCAGTGCGATCCCACGCAACGCAACGCAGCCATGAGGCAATTGTTGATTTCTGTCAGGCAAGGAGATGAAGCATCTCTACTCGCCGCGCATGCGCGTGAGCACGTGGCGGCAGCTCTGGATCTGGCTTGCCGAGGCCGAGAAGGAACTCGGTCTCGACATCTCAGATGAGGCCATCAACCAGATGAAGGTCCATCAAGTTGTGGAGGACGACGAGTTTGGTGTTGCCGCCAAGGAGGAGGCACGTAGAAGGTAGGCCTTTCTTCGTTGTCTCTTGTACCGAAGCAGAAGACGTGTGATTGCACTGTTGCAACCCAAGCTTGGAATCTCCGAAACCGATGCCGATTACTGAACAGCACTCCTCGCGCACACACATTGGAGAGGGACAAATTCAGGAGAGAGCTGACAATGGCATAGACACGATGTCATGGCTTGGGTACACACTTACGGTTTGGCGGCTCCCGCTGCAGCTGGAATCATCCACTGGGGAGCTACCAGCTGCTACGTGACGGACAACGCAGACCTCATC